GCAAGTTGCAAGCGCTAACAACAAATTCCTAAAAACAAATCAAACTTCGTTAAAAGCTCTGGCCTGGCAAAGTTCTTGTAAATTTCGCAAACGAAATGAGAAAAATTTGGACAAAAAGTGCATTAGCAAATAATTTCTTTTCATTTTTCAAGCAAAAATTTCAAAAAAAAAATTACCAAAAATAAAAAACCCTCAAGGTATTCAGTGCGGATATTCTGTGTTAGTGATATTACCACAATAAAATTGGTAGCAGTAGGAAAATTTAGAAATTTCATTGAATGATAAAGTGATATCAAAAATTTAACAACTGAGGGTTAAGAACCCACCCTAGCGCTTTCTATGCATTCTTTGAAATTCGGTTGAGAATTCTTCTTGTGTGCTTACTTTTTTTTTTCGCATGCGCTTATCCCTTCAGTTAAATCCACTAAAAACCATGAAATCATCTCTGGATAGGACGAAGGAGGGAGCATAACAATTCAATCAGTAAAAAATCCATTACCAAGATGGGATACGTCGAGCGGAGGAATTGGTTGAGAGAATCAGGATATTAAGAAGATTGCATGCCAAGCCGACCACTGCAATAGCTGGTAAGCAAACAACATTCGACCACCAGATTATCTTCAGCGCATTCTTCAAAGCAAAAAAAGGAAAGTTAAAAAATAAGTGGCTGAAAATTTGCTTTAAACGAATTAATCGGTTCCGAATGGAAGAAATATATTAAACTTGAAACAATCGAAATCAAGTACAAAAGGGGCTCAGCAAAACGCAGCAACTCTACTCAAACTTTTATTACTATTGTTCATTAATTATTACCATTATTATCCTTAGTACAATAATAAATAATAAAACTCCTTTGTCATTATTTCCACTGTTACTAGCAGTATTAATGTTATTATTATTACCGTTATTACTATTATTGTTATTATTGCTATTATTATTACCATTATTGTTACTATTACTATTGCTGTTATTTTCAGTTTTACTGCTAGTATTATTATTGCCATTATTACTATCATTATACTATTATTATCGCATTTTTGCCAGTGTGAAAATGCAGCAATAAGGAAGCGATACCTGTTGTAGAAGATGATCGACTGGAATCGTACTGTCGCAAATATTTCCAAAACTTTTGCGATCGCTCATCACAGTTAGCTATTTTTTAATCATTCACAGCGCATAAACATAGCAGTCTTACTGGACTGTGCAAGCACATCGAGCTGGGCAAGTCTGAAAAGTGAAAACGCTTGGACAAATATTTGTCTAGTTCGAGGCACGCACACATCTAATTTTTTCTTGCCTTTATCTTAAGAGTGGTAGTAACGCCCAAAATATGTAATAATTCGGTCTGCAATTTTACCGAAAAGTTTTAATTTTCAAAAATATTAATGCAAAACAGTTAACAACGGCTAATAATTGTTCAGTAATAGTAAGCCAAGGGATTCTTTTTTCCCACAGCAATTCAATATGCACTTAATTCAATTCCTACTGCTCCATGAAGACTGAAAAATTGAAAACTGCTGTAACACTAAAGCGAAGGAAAAGTGCAAAATTGAGGAAAAGTGAAGCACAACGTAAAAAAACAGCAAAGCACTAAAGGGGACGCGAATGAGTGAAAAAAATTAAAAGCTGGGGAATTTTGAAAAATTACTGAAAAATAATATTTATTTTTGATAAACGCAAATTAAAAGATCAGTTCGGGGGCGCATGAACTGAAAGTTTAAAAGAAGTAAGAGGCAAATTGTTGAAGCTTATCGCACTACGGTTTGATGCTGAAAAACCCAGGCTGAAACGCACCAGGCGGGCCCGTGCGATCATGCGTTTTTGCACAGGACTTGAA